GGAAACACGACGATGACGTTCCAATGTGCATTCCAAGGAAGGAAAACCGTTCGCCTAATTAGAACCCGATCGTCGCAAATTCCCTCCTTCGATTTGTCATCCGATCATAAACGACCAAAGCGAATTCCAAGCTGGGAGAAAAATTCAGGCAAAGATTCACCCATTAATCTTCCGATTCCTGAAGCTGGACTAGCCCGGGAAAAAATTGAGAATCGGAAATCGGCAAAAATCCAGCGAAACATACCGAGGTCAAAAACGGTAAAATAAAATTAGTAGAAATTATAAACCGAGTACTGTAATTTTAAAAATGTTAACACATATTTATATCCATTTTTAATGAATTTCTAGAAGCGATACTAAAGACAAAGAAATCTGGATCGAGCTGGAATACAGGACCTGAAGTAGGTTTCTATCATTAATTCCCCAAAAAATGTTCATTTGCTGAAAAGTGGTTTGATCTTCCTCTTTCTAAAATATTTTGAGACAAACGACGTGTGATATTTGATGGCGTCTTAAATCTTCAAAAAGAATACATCATAGCTACTTATCAGCATAATCTCAAGAATATAAATTTGCAAGGCAACTAGGGTTGATATCCTAATTTCCACTGGTCGAGCTTGAAAAATCACCATATGATAACTAAAGCATGCGTTGCTTCTACCCAATCTTTTGATTCAATAAAAATGTAATGGGTAAAAGTGTGTCTTGCATTATTAGGGATCACTAATTTAATCTTCGTGGGGGGCATAAGAGTTTGAGATGCGTTATGTAATATGTACCTCTTATACTCGAGTATGGTCAATAGAATCTCGCCGAAATGGCCTCAGCGGCGGGATTTTTCGTACACGTGAGATTCTCTCTTGTACCCAAAAAGTGCAGAATCCTTTTCTTCCCTTTCACTTCCGACCTACAGGGATTATTGGGAAACGATTCCATTTCAAAATTCCCCGTCAATAAGGCACACGGGAGTTCGAAAGTAGCATCAATCATCAGGAAGCACGCCTCGTCGGCAGGTTAACCGAGTCATTATGCCGCCAGAGTACTGAGATGCTGAAAAAACAGGTTAGTAGCCTTCTTTTTTTCCGGGTAAATGAAGTTTCCTTCGTTTTTATACAAAATGGAAGAGAAAACTTCCCGTGAAGCTCTAAATTATTCGTTGGAATCTACTTCCGTCTTCCGGAAACACTTTCCCTGATTATACCGGTTCGACGATGCAATTTTAGCATGGAATACGTACCCGCAAAAAATAGGCCAAATGAGGCTGTTACGCAATTCACAATTTTTCCATGCATTATTTCTTTAGGTCCAAGAAAATGAGAAAGCCGCCGTGAAATCCGACCATTTTCTTGCAAGTACACCGTGAAGTCAGAAGTGCTTCGATTTTTCGAAATGCAGGGCATTTTTTACATCATGACCGTACTAAACATTTTAATAATAAACACAAAAATAATGTCAGAAATGCGTAGAATTACCATATTTCTAAAAAAGTCAATAAGACGCTAAAATTAGTTTAACAAGATTAAATGTTGTATCACGCATCAATTCAAAGTCTCTCAATCCGTCCGCCAAAAATCTGTAAATTAATTTTTAAAACGTATGAGGCTTCAGCATATCACGTATTTAGGATTCCAGCTGTTCCTGTTATTAAAACTGAAAACGATTCTCAATTTCAAAACAACCGTATCTCATTAAAAAAGCTTTCCCTTTGGTATAGTATATTGCATACAGTATACAGTACCGTAATTATCATCCGCAAAAGAAACCTCAGATAGTCCAAAAATAGCGATAAATGATCGGAATACACAATAATAGATTAAATTCAGCGATCGCAGAAAATTTCGAAATTTCCAACATTCAACAGCTTAGCTTCTAGACATAAAATACTGTAAAAATTATAATACTGTATTGTCGATGGAAGCGTATTTTATTTGAGAATTCCAATCGCAAATCAACCACGAAAGTTCTCAGAGAAAAAAATATCCTCTCAACTTTGCCTTTGTAAAATGTGCAAAGCTTTTTAAAGCAACTCGGTGAGTTGACAGCCAGGGAGCACGTTTGAAAATTGCCCTCGAAAAAAAAAACTAGATAAAGACGAATTACACCCGGAAAACAAGTCCTCTTGGTACTCCCAGAAGTGTACCAATGCATTCGTCACGGGAAGCAGTACATCTATACTCTATAGACACGACAGAACAACAGCGCGATTTATATACCCCACCGAGTTCATGACAGATCGCATCCAAGTGATCAATAGAAACCGATCACTCTCTAAAGGTCGACACGTCGAGCTCAAGGGTGACCAGCAGAACAGNAAAGTAGCATCAATCATCAGGAAGCACGCCTCGTCGGCAGGTTAACCGAGTCATTATGCCGCCAGAGTACTGAGATGCTGAAAAAACAGGTTAGTAGCCTTCTTTTTTTCCGGGTAAATGAAGTTTCCTTCGTTTTTATACAAAATGGAAGAGAAAACTTCCCGTGAAGCTCTAAATTATTCGTTGGAATCTACTTCCGTCTTCCGGAAACACTTTCCCTGATTATACCGGTTCGACGATGCAATTTTAGCATGGAATACGTACCCGCAAAAAATAGGCCAAATGAGGCTGTTACGCAATTCACAATTTTTTCATGCATTATTTCCTTAGGTCCAAGAAAATGAGAAAGCCACCGTGAAATCCGACCATTTTCTTGCAAGTACACCGTGAAGTCAGAAGTGCTTCGATTTTTCGAAATGCAGGGCATTTTTTACATCATGACCGCACTTAACATTTTAATACTAAACACAAAAATAATGTCAGAAATGCGTAGAATAACCTTATTTCTAAAAAAAGTCAATAAGACGCTGAAATTAGTTTAACGAGATTAAATGGTGTATCACGCATCGATTCAAAGTCTCTCAATACGTCCGCCAAAAATCCGTAAATTAAGTTTTAAAACGTATGAGGCTTCAGCATATCACGTATTTAGGATACCAGCTGTTCCTTTTATTAAAACTTAAAACGATTCTCAATTTCAAAACAACCGTATCTCATTAAAAAAGCTTTCCCTTTGGTATAGTATATTGCATGCAGTATACAGTACCGTAATTATCATCCGCAAAAGAAACCTCAGAACAAAACTAGTGTAAGAATTATAATATTGTCGATGGATGCGTATTTTATTCGAGAATCCCAATCGCAAATCAACCACGAGTTCTGAGAGAAAAAAATATCCTCTCAACTTTGCCTTTTTAAATTGTGCAAAGCTTTTTGAAGTAACTCGGTACGTTTACAGCCAGGGAGCACGTTTGAAAATTGCCCTCGAAAAAAAAACTAGATGAAGACGAATTACACCCGGAAAACAAGTCCTCTTGGTACTCCCAGAAGTGTACCAATGCATTCGTCACGGGAAGCAGTACACCTATAGACTACGACAGAACAACAGCGCGATTTATATACCCCACCGAGTTCATGACAGATCGCATCCAAGTGATCAATAGAAACCGATCACTCTCTAAAGGTCGACACGTCGAGCTCAAGGGTGACCAGCAGAACAGTACGACAGAACAACAGCGCGATTTATATACCCCACCGAGTTCATGACAGATCGCATCCAAGTGATCAATAGAAACCGATCACTCTCTAAAGGTCGACACGTCGAGCTCAAGGGTGACCAGCAGAACAGGTATCCCAGCAGCAAAACGACTGGCCGCAAAACAAACCCATCCGAGCAGACAATGAGAAGATTGAAGACGCTTCACAGTCATCCAGGTTTTTCGGGACGACGGGCCAAAAAAAAAACAACGAACAAACAAAATAAATAAAAATCTCAAGAGTCCCGAGAACTTCGGCTCGGTTTCCGCCCTGAATAGCGAAGCCCTTGTGCCCCCCGAGTATCTGCCTATTATTCTGCCCCCGGCAATTTGTCGTTAGCGCGAAGGACACAAAGAGGACGGCTTGGAGTGGGTCATTCCCGGCGCCAGACTCAAGTACCCGCAAAAAATATATATATAAATATACACTTGGACACACCTACTCGAATACTCATGAAAAAAAAACAGAAAACACCTGAGACTGAAATTTCATCCTGGCAGTTTATCAAATCCGTCGAAGGTCGGGACCACTTCAACACTTCATGGTCAGATCTCGACCCGCGATCAGAGTCTAAGCAGGGCGTGAAGAAACACTGGGGATGCAAATTTTGCAACAAATCCCCGTCCGAGTATTTTTTTTCATGCAAAAAGAAAATAGTTAGTGATCCACACAGCATGCAGAAAATAAAAATAATCGGTGTGAGAACCAAAAATCTGTTCAAAACAATACATCACCTGCATGAAGTAGGGAGGCAAGACACATCTCTGGTCATCCAATCTGCTATTCTGTAGCCTTTCTAAAAGCTCAAACAGCTCGGCCGAATTCCCCTGCGACGAAAACACACAGATCGAAACAAGGGCAAGAGGGGAAAAAAAAAGAAAGAAAAAAAACGGAACAAAAGCATTACTAAACCAGAAACAACAAGTTTCATAAAAACATATAGGTCAACCAAACACATCAACGATGAACGCCAACGTGAGGCAACATAAACCTTCAACCGATCTAGGACATTCGACAAATCCTAAAAAATACTTGAAATTTAAATTTCGTAAAATAAAACGTGATGAGCTAATATAAAAATTTTGAAGCAAAATACAATGCTAGAATATACGAAACAAAACCAACATTACAGCTATATGAAACACTGTCGTGACACAGGAAACACCCTTAATAGTAATCTGATACGTGCACCTGTGACAAATTCAATGATCTGAAAGAAAAAAAATGCGCTGGAAAATTGACCTAAATCGGTCAGCAAAGCATACGTTGAATCTACTAATCACCCGAAGCAACCGAAACTGTTGCAAAGCAACCCCTCGAGTAGCAAAAAGAGTGGAGAACGACAAATTAGCCTGGCGAGCTAATTACGTTGTCGCCTGATCGATAATGCCGACCTAATGTCACTGCTCTCATTTAATTGCTCGCCAAGCTTTATTGCGGTTGGAAACCAGGCCCCAGGGCGGGGTCCAATGACCAGATGTCGAGAACCGAACGCTTGGGAAATGAAACACCCGGAGGCCAAGTACCTCTACCTCACCTAGATAAATTTAATTTTTTTAATCAGGAAAAAATGACACAGAAACGGTTTCAAATTACTCCATGATTCATTGATACGTTTTTTTAACTTACGGAATAACGCTAAAATCCAAAAAGTTATCATCAATAAGGATTGCTTTAAAAACGGTAAATATTTCTAGAAAATCTCTTCTAGCGCAATTTTGAGCCAATATCATCGAAATGTAATTCAAAGCCAAGACACAAAATTGATACACACGGAAACTTTCTCTGCAGAATTACTCAAGGTACTAAATTTTGCTTCCCCATAAAGATAACTTCCATGTAATGGAGGCAATATTTATCCGTATCAAAAGATGAGCGTTGGGGGAAAAATGGTTGAATCGAGAATATATATGCCAAGGAAAAATCAAAGATGGAGAGTTCACTCGTAAATCGACGCTCAAAAGCGGTTTCAAGAAAAATTAAATCGGTGAATTTGAAAATTTTATTCAACATGGCTGATATCAAGATGAATGCGCTGGGAAATTTTAAGCATGAACTTTAAAAAGAACCCTCGCAGAAAAACTGACAAAAGTCCAACGCTCTGGGTTTAATCGTGCTCAAACCCCCTTCAATGCATAAAACTGTCGTGACTGTTATGAATGAGGATCCAGGTTGCATAATAGGGAATGACGACGTGAAAATAAGGACAGTCACGGATGAAGGGTATCGAAACACTGTTTCGTTTGAATGAAAATATAAAATGCAGTACTAGACCGCATTATCCGCTCGACAGTACACTCTTTTCATGCCTCGGAAATGGCACACATGTCTTCACAATGACGGATGCACTCAAACAGAATTGTAACATTTGGAACCCGGCTTAAATTTCACGCCAAGGGAGACAGAAAAGAGAGCATAAATTCGAAAAGGGTGAATCTTTCCCAGCTCACCCCACATCAATCTAACTCAGTTTTTTAATCTGAAAAACTGCCGTGGTTTTCGCCATTCTTTTAAAAATTCGGAATGAACCTTGAAACTGTCATAACGTTTACGTACTAAGAGAAAGAGCCTTTGAGTGGAACCTAAAACGTCCTCTTGGGAGACTAGGACTCCTGCTTCCCTGCACCGAAACTGTCATATTGACAGGCAGGTAACAGACGAAGGACATTAGACAAAAGAAAAGAAATCGGACTTGAAAATAAGCTCTTCAACTCCTCGAGTTAAACTCTTCTTTCTTAAACTCTCCAGGAATCCCCGATGACTCCATCATCATGAACGAGCAGCCAAAATTGAAGACAAGATTTTAAAAATTTACCCGCGTAATTCGAGCGCGGAAAAAAAATCAGCCTAGGAAGCAAGTCCATAGGTAAACAGAGACCATGGGCAGACGTTTGAAAATGGGGTTTTCTGACATGAAAACTTCGATTTGAAACATTTCTACAACAAAAAACGAATCATTTTTTTTTAACAACAACCAATCGTACAACTCCTTCAGGTAATTTATCTCAGCTCAATTTAATAATTTATGACATCACCATGAAAATAATCTGAAATAAAGATTTAAAATTTGAAAATAGACATTTAGGGTAATTTCTTGCAATGCTATTTATTCGATGTCATTTTAATTTCCGAGCTTTCATTTTTTAATTTCACGGTTCTTATACCGACTGCTTCCAAATTTTACAAGCTCTTACATTTTCGCGTCAAGTTCATGGACAAGCTTGATTATACAATGAGGAAGAATTTTATAAACGCTCTTTTGATTACTCCACGCAATAAATTCACTGCTGAGTCACTGACCAAGAAGATGCAATCGCAAGGTATTGCAAATGCATGATTCTCTTTCTCGGAAACTCACCTTGGATTTTGCAGGAGAACCCTCTGATCCTGAGGACGAAGGGACGTGGCTTTGACAGTATAACTGTCCGTCCATTGTCTGCTTCCTGTAACGACAAAAGAAAAGAAATCGGACTTGAGAATAAGCTCTTCAACTCCTCGAGTAAGTTTCTTTCTTAAACTCTCCAGGAATCCACGATGACTCCATCATCACGAACGAGCAGCCAGAATTAAAGACAAGATTTAAAAAATTTACCCGCGTTATTCGAGCGCGGAAAAAAAAATCAGCGTAGGAATCAAGTCCATAGGTGAAGTCCAGAGACGTTTGAAAATGGGGTTTTCTGACTTGAAAATTTTGATTTAAAACATTTCAACAACAAATAACGAACCATTTCTTTAAATCAACAACAAATAACGAACCATTTCTTTAAATCAACAACCAATCGTACAACTCCTTCAGGTAATGTATCTCAGCTCAATTTAATGATTTATGACATCACCTTAAAAATAATCTGAAATAAAGATTTAAAATGTGAAAATAGACATTTAGTGTAATTCCTTGCAATGTTAATTATTCGATGTCATTTTAATTTTCGTGCTTTCATTTTTTTTTTCAAATTTCACGGCTCTTATACCGACTGCTTCCAAATTTTACAATCGCATAGATTTTCGCGTCAAGTTCATGGACAAGCTTGATTATACAATGAGGAAGAATTTTATAAACGCTCTTTTGATTACTCCACGCAATAAATTCACTGCTGAGTCACTGACCAAGAAGATGCAATCGCAAGGAGATTAAATTTCATCAACGCAGCCAGTTAACAACTACTCAGCAGAAACGACGATCCTACCAAAATCCGTTGAATACATATCAAATGCGTTGCAGGAGAATAAACACGGATGGTTCAGAGTCTATACACACGTGGAAAGATAACCGAAAGGTTCATTGAGTCATTGCGACTGCGCAAACACTAGGAAGACAAACTGGGAACAAATCTACTGAAAAAAACGGGGCTTACGCAGAAGAATCCTCCACAAATTGAGTCACACTATAGGGCTATAACCATTTATGCCAGAAAATGATTTCAATAATATGGTAATCATAAAAAAAAACCTGAGCGTTATTTTTGATTCCATTCATTACAATTAAGAGAAGGTCAAGGGATTCGATCGCGGAAGCAATAACAAGAAATTATGGCCGTGCTGTTTCCGTCACGTAAGTGGAAAAATTTTTCCACATTCATGAATGCGGAAGGAATTTTCAGTTGGAGAAAGATGCACTTCGAGTTCATGCGTCCTTGTGCAAAGGAAAAAAAAAGAGGAAGAAGAAGCTGATTTGAAAAAAAAAAGATTCGTCTTAAATCATAAACGGAGTCGCTGTAAATTCAAATGCACTTTCGTGATTTAAATTTCTATGGTGATTCCTGTATTCCTAGGTCAAGTAGGATTTTCACTCGACGCGTAAATAAAACGGAGGAGAAAAGATTTGGTGATTTCAATTCAAGTGTTCATCACACGAACTGACCAGCATTTTGACATGCATCGACTTATTTCACGTGACTTATTCACGCAATTCTAGAGCCTGGTATTATTATTGTGGCCAACCTTGAGGGAAAAAACTTGAAAAGCATGAAATTTAGTTTTTAATTGAAGGATGCGAATGAAACCTCTGAAAAATTCAACTACCGTATCGAAACATTAAATGGGATCGGTCAAAATCCATGCAATAACCGTAATGGAAAAACAGGGATTTTCCAAAGAAAAAAAAGAAACCCTGCGCTTTCCCTATCACAGGTTTTTCGTTCGTTTTATTTCCCCTGACTTTATCTATTCTCTACACCCACACGATCTCGAGAATAGGCCAAATCTTCTCTTAATTAGAGCCTGTCTCAGATTTCTCTTGAGTAAAGTACAGGCCATAAATGGGGGGTTTGGCTATTTTAGATTCTTTTTTACGAATACTGTATTGAGACTTCACCTCGTTCGGCAGATGGAGTAAACGAACGCTAGAAGAAAAAATAGCAAGGTCCAGCATTCACGCATCAAAAGAGGGTTTTTTTCGTGAACTCTTTGACATACACGCCTGGGAATGAAATTGGTTTTATCGGCGTTCAAACACGACATTTCGGTTGCGACATCCATCGATATAAAGGCGTTACGGAGATAAAAACTGGAACGTACACAGGGGTGGAGTAAGCAGATCGCCATGGCCTGTCGCTTTTGAAGCCGTAGGCTACAAAACAAGCCATTTTCGACACCGTCTTCGGCGTCTTCATTCACACTCCGATTTCATGTCCTTCCGACGCGCACAAAAACTTCACAGCTGCACCACGTCGGGCGCGTCAATGAACGCCACGCGTTCCACGTTTTCAACACACCAAAAAAAATGTCCTTTTCTTCTATCTATTTTTTTTTTGCCGCTCTTTCTCGTCACGCGGACATCACCGAAAGACACGCGTTCGGGCAGAACACCATAAAATACGGCGCATTACGGAACGGTTCTCATCTGGGACCCGAGCAGGAGACAATGATATCAAGCGCTTGTCCACAGGTGTGAAACGGAAGTAAATCAACAGGAAAAAGTCATCAAGTCACTGACACTTTCAGCTAGAGGGGGAACATTTTCACATCCATTCCATGCAATGGTATCATCCGCCACTGATCATCACAGACACACCGGCAGCTTTGTAACATTATCTGGCGGCAGATAATGTAAATTTTTCGCGATAAAAATCTTGCGTGTCCATGACACGAGGCACAAAAACTCATTCGTTCATGATTTGTAGCATGCATGAAAAATGCGGTTCATCCCGGATAACCAACAATTAAAATTTTATCAAACATGAATTAGAAGCGGGAATAATGCACCCTCCGGCAAGGTCCTTACCCATCTAAATCACTGGAAGAGCAACCACTGGACATAATTTTGATCTTCCTTTCTTTTTTTTTACAGCTAGGAACAAAATCGTGAGTCTAAATCCTTCAGATACTGTACTAATTCTTCAAAAGGGAACTGAACCAACACCACTTAATATCCATGCATATTTCGCTGGCATCACTGGTATATAATGTCTTGTTTCGTTTCGCATAAATAATTGTGAATTTTTTCTAACTTGCTTGCCACTCGCAAAAAATCACTCAAAATTAATTTTAGAAGAGCCTCGGGACATAATTTTTTAAAACAAATTTTAATGTGTATGTAGATCGCCACAGGCAGTACAGTACAACGAAATTGATAAGATCACTCGTGAAGTTCACGTTCACTGACACAGACATTAAAAATATGCTTGAGCTATAATTTTCCGGAATCATGACTGGGCGATTTTATCCGGATACTTAAAAATAATCGATTATATTTAATATTTTTTAATGCTCAGGAGTTGAAAAAAAAATTCTGAAAACGACCTAACGTCATATCACAAAAATCACTGGGAATATCACCCGTAAAATCAAATACTATTCCAAATTCAGTTGAATAATGAGAAAAATAAATTAGAAAATAAATATGCTTTGTTGCAATTCTAATTTTTTTAATAACGGTTATCCGAAGTCGGGAGAGGAGAGTTCCACTGAAGTTACCTAAGCGCACGAGCATTCGGAAATTTTGAAAAGCTAAATTTAGCCATCACTCACATCGTATTAATTCTGAAGGCACGATGAAATGAAAAAAATAATTTTTAAATAATTAATGGTATGAACTGCATCACCGATTACACAATCGCAAAATAAATTTCAAACTTCGACCGAAAGACGCGCACTTCCCAATAGATGATGATAATAATATTTCGCGGGACCACGGAGTGATGGAAAAAATTTCATCACCAGCACAGTCTCCACGCACGAATCTCCGACGTCACGGGACGCCATCCTCCCAAAAATCCTCCCGTCCACGGGGACCAGATCGGGGGAACTGATGCTCCGCCACCTGAAACCCAGGGAACCCGGACAGGCAGAGGACGCATCGCCTCAGCACCCGAGATGAAACGCCATCGGGATGCCGGGAAAATACTAGTCGGGGACCAGAGGGCGGTGAAAAAAAAAAGAAGACAGCAGGGCAGTCCTTAACCTGAGGGCTTTTTCAGAAGGTTCTCGAGTCACGCTCAATGCAAAACCGCATTCATTCATATGTACAATTTTACCGATGATGAAAGAATCAATGTAGAGCGGAACATCCCCTTGAAAACGGTTGAAAATTTTATTTTGAAATTCACCACGTAGTACAAATGGACACGGTTTTCTCTGAGGATGCGATTCCGAAATCATCTCGGAACGCATACGCATTTTCCGCAAAACGTTCTAATGTGACCATGTTTTTCCGAGAATGACACACATTTTATTCATTTTCTTTCATGAATATAACGTGTATCAGGGTCATAAAAGTTCACTTCATTGGGGCTATAATTCTAGGCATTTTTTTCACAGGCAATCCACCTATAATTAAAAAATTGAAATAAAACCTCTCTTGTATATGATTTAAAATACTGTATAGCATTTTTAAAAACTAATGTGAGGAGTTTTTCTTAAGTTTTCTACATCTAAGTTGTTCGAAAGGAGAATGTGAAGTTCATCAACCCGCTTTTGGAAAAAAAACTTCTAAAATCGGGTTCATTGCATTTTAATCGGGTTATATTTCCAAAAAGGACTGCTGAAACTTTTTTTTTATAAGAAGTGACCAACCGATAATTTGATTGTTGCTCTATTCGATGCAGTGGGGTTTGGCTTCAGATTACGCTCATTGACTCAATATACATTCATGCTCTAACCATATTTTTGTGGAATACTCTCATTATACAATATTTCAGAGTTCAGAATTAGAGCATGAGTCTTCGAAGCAACAGTTCAAGTCAAACAAAATTGTTTCATCGAGAATTTCTACTTTACACTACCCAAGACGCTGCCGCATGAGTGATTTCAAGTAGGGCTGGAATTTTGAGTCAATTGAGGTTTCTCGCTCTCCGAATACAGTGTGCACAAGAATGTTCCAAACGTTTCGTTTTGGAATATTTCAGGAAGAATTTACGAGGGGAAAAAAGGGTAGCTGTAAGAAGACTGCGAATTGCGAGCACGTCACTTCGAGCAGGGAAAACTTTCGGAACGATCCCCCATTCTTCGGATAACGCTCTCGTGCCCCGAAGCTCATCCGGCTTCAAGACACTTCACCGCATCCTTGAATGAAAAAAAAAAATAGAGCTTGCCCATAACAACGCTTCACTGCCTGCCGTCAGGGACTTCTTCCTTGAGCCGACAGCTGTCGCAAAATCAAACAGTTTCAAACAGCCGTCGTGTGGCCAGTTGGAAGAACAAGAAGATAAAAAAGAAGTCGCGCCTGATCTTCGTCCTCTGATCGTGCCAACGTTTTTTCAACTTCGGAGGCAATTCCAAGTTCAAAAGCTGACGATTCGAAGTCAGTTTCGCTCCGCATGGAAAATTACATGCAATTCCGGACACCACCACAATTTTGCAGTGAAAAACGCGGGTTGCGGCCTAAAATGCAATGGATCAATGAAGATCGGTCGCACTTTCTGATGGAAGAATCGTGGCTGTGTTGGAGGAAATAACTTTATGTATTCCCGGCAGAATTAAAAAGAAAATTCCGCGAATCGACAAAAAAATGCCTCCGTTGGATTTTATTTCCGTCAGAAAATTTCTTGGCGTTCGTGGGGAGTATTTCAACATTCAATGCAATTTCCTCCGAGTCCAAACGTCGGCGTATCAATTCAATATCTATAAAATTTTAACATTTCATGAACCGTATGCAAAGTGCAGTACTGTATTCTTCCATGAAATTGTCCCGCGAAAATTTCCCTCTTAAACGTGAACAAAAAATTAAAGTGCTGCCCATGACCGCAACCTTTTGCAATTTTTTAAAAATCTTCCGGCGATAATCCGTGATAAGTGATTGTTTTACTTCGGTCCTCCCTCGACGCAACGCGTTCCGGAATTCGAAAGCCTAATTTTAAAAATGTTTTTCGATCAAGAACTTACAATAAAGTCTTGCATTAGTTCGGAATGTAGTTTAAATCCTTTCGTGTGGACACACTCATTGACCAGAAGTGATCGATAAAAACTTGTCCGAGGCAAACCAATGAAACTTGATCCAGGTCCCCTCAATTTCTCGAGCAAGAATCTTGGCCAAGAACCCACCTGAGTACTGACCAATGATGCAAAAAAAAAAGGAACGAGGACAAAAAAAAATTTGTAATCGTGCCCCAAAGCACGTCGACGAACTCACGGTGTTGCAATCGATAAATGGGTGACGGGGTCCGTTGAACCGCGAAGGACCTTGATTGTGAGGCGCGAAATAGAATGANTCTTGTATATGATTTAAAATACTGTATAGCATTTTTAAAAACTAATGTGAGGAGTTTTTCTTAAGTTTTCTACATCTAAGTTGTTCGAAAGGAGAATGTGAAGTTCATCAACCCGCTTTTGGAAAAAAAACTTCTAAAATCGGGTTCATTGCATTTTAATCGGGTTATATTTCCAAAAAGGACTGCTGAAACTTTTTTTTTATAAGAAGTGACCAACCGATAATTTGATTGTTGCTCTATTCGATGCAGTGGGGTTTGGCTTCAGATTACGCTCATTGACTCAATATACATTCATGCTCTAACCATATTTTTGTGGAATACTCTCATTATACAATATTTCAGAGTTCAGAATTAGAGCATGAGTCTTCGAAGCAACAGTTCAAGTCAAACAAAATTGTTTCATCGAGAATTTCTACTTTACACTACCCAAGACGCTGCCGCATGAGTGATTTCAAGTAGGGCTGGAATTTTGAGCCAATTGAGGTTTTTCTCACTCTCCGAATACAGTGTGCACAAGAATGTTCCAAACGTTTCGTTTTGGAATATTTCAGGAAGAATTTACGGGGGGAAAAAAGGGTAGCTGTAAGAAGACTGCGAATTGCGAGCACGTCACTTCGAGCAGGGAAAACTTTCGGAACGATCCCCCATTCTTCGGATAACGCTCTCGTGCCCCGAAGCTCATCCGGCTTCAAGACACTTCACCGCATCCTTGAATGAAAAAAAAAAAAAAAAATATGAGCTTGCCCATAACAACGCTTCACTGCCTGCCGTCAGGGACTTCTTCCTTGAGCCGACAGCTGTCGCAAAATCAAACAGTTTCAAACAGCCGTCGTGTGGCCAGTTGGAAGAACAAGAAGATAAAAAAGAAGTCGCGCCTGATCTTCGTCCTCTGATCGTGCCAACGTTTTTTCTACTATGGAGGCAATCCAAAGTTCAAAAGCTGACGATTCGAAGTCAGTTTCGCT